CAGAGAATAGAAAGAGAAAATCCACTAATGAAGGTAAAATAAAGACATTTTCAGAAAAAAAGAAGTTTCCCAGTTGCTTCACACCCTTCTTGATATTCAGTGTCAAGCTTCTTCATATCAGCCATCCTATCATATTTGTAGTAGTTCATTATGAGCTTAATTTGTATCACATTTCTGTCTAATTGTTGATAGTTTTTCTAAATCCTTATCTCATTTGTGTGCCTTCATTTTGAAGTGTTTGCTCATCTTTCACCCAATTTATTGGGCTATCCTTTTTGGTGTTAATTCTTTTATTATTGAGTGGTAGGAATTCTTTACAAGTTCTCTGTCAAGTGTACATATTTAACATTTTCTCTTTCTCTGTGGTTTTCCTATTCATTTTCTTAGTGGTGTTTTTTGGTAAGCAAGGAATGCATTCATTACTCTTTTCCTCTTTTCTGGTTATTACTTTCTGTGGTGTAAAAAACCATTCCCCACTCTCAAGATTGTGAAGATGTTGTTTTCTTTTGGAATGTTTATAGTTTTTACCTCTAAAACTGATGAGTCTCAGAGTAAGAGTAAAAACCAGCCCCTGTCCCCTCCTTCCTTCTCTTCTTACTCCCAGTTATGGGGATGAACCCACGTAAGAAGTTTTTACAGGTCTTAGAGGTGGGCTTAGGACCATCTGGGCAGTGAATGCTAGCCCCAGGTATCTAGAGCATGGTCCAGAAAAAGTAGAATACACATTTTGGGGGGATGTCTCTTTAGCTCTAACTTCTTTGTATTTAAGGAGAGACACTGCAGGAAGTGGGTCAGAATGGGGTCTCTAAGCTTGGGGCTCAAGGCAGGACACTAGTGTCCTGGGCGTAAGGGCTGTACTGACTGGGGCCCAGGAAGAGCTGGTCAGTGGGGAGGGACTATCACATAGGAAATGTTGTTATGGAAGAACAGGACTATAGGCAGAGACATGGTACCAAAGCAGGGAGGAGACAGGAAAAAACACTCTGAATTCTCTCCTCTTCCGATCTCCTACTGGTACCTCCATTAGCTGAACCACACCAGGGCCAACTGGCAAGGATGCTGTGATAGTTAAGGTTGTATGTTAACTTGGCTGGACCATGATTCTGAGTGGTTTAAGGAACTGTGCTGTGGTGTTTTCCATGGTGAAATCTGATGTATATGCTTTGAGCAGCCAATCAGTTGAAAGGGAGTTTCCTTAAGGTTATGTTGTTGTTGTTGTTACTTGCCAGAGTTGTCTCTGACTCATAGTGACCCCTCTTTGGGTTTCTGAGGCAATATCTCTACAGAAGTAAATTGCCCAAATTGCCCCAACCTTCCTTCCAAGGAGTGACTAGTGGATTTGAACTGCCAACCTTCTGGCTACTAGTCAAGTGCCTTAGGCGCTACATCACCAGAGCTCCCTTAGGGGTATGGCCTCCTTCAAATAGGGTTTGTCAACCCCTAAAGCTGCATCAGGAAAAGCCTCCAGCTTGACATATGGCTCATGAACTTGGGACTTGGCAGCCCCTACAACTGAACTGTGAGCCAATAATCTGCCATTTTGTTTGCTGATCTTGGATTCGTCATCTGCTGAAGTCAGCAGCGTACTATACCACCTGCCAATCTTGGGCTTGTCAGCCACTGCAGATGCGTGAGTTAAGAAAAGCCTCCAGCTTGCTGTTTGATCCAGGAACTTAGGAATTTCCAGCCTCCATTAACTGTGTAAGCCATTTTCCTGAATATATATATTCTATGTGTATATGCTTTACTATTCATAAGGTTTTCCCTGGCCAATTCTTTGAGAAGTGGACGGCCTCTTCTTTCTTCCTACTCTGTCTCAGTCTATAAACTGGGCTGTTACCTGTGCACCAGGTGCATCTCACTGGGTTTTAAACACCAGAGGCTCAGCCTCAAAACTCACGTCTACATGTCACCACAGTAGAACAAACCGACAGACAAGTTTGTCTTGCTGTTGG